GTTTAAGTCATTTAATGGCATGAAATCTCTTGAGTGAAAAATCTGAAGTATGATTCTGATGGATGGCGTAAATTAAACTCAACATGGTAAAGTTTTGCAGTGAGATCTTCGTAATAGAGCTAATTTTGTTTGAAAGCTCAGAAATCTGGCACCGAGGAGGAAAAAAACCCCAAAATGACAAAACTCTCTAATTGAGAAAATTATAAAATATTATTAAAAGACATTAAAGGGGCATAAATAAATGTAAATAAATAAATGGAAGACTTAATACCATAAAGATGTCAATCAGTGGTACATTGGTCATAACTTGAAAACAATTCCAATCAAAATTACACCATTTTGTGTGTGTGAATATTTGAAGTTGACTAAAATTTATATGAGAGAGTAAAGGACAAGCATAGACTAGATACTCTTGAAAAAGAAAAACCAGATGGAGAAATTGCCTTTCTTTACATCAAGAATTATTATGAACATATAACAAATGAGTAAGATTTTATTATTTTAAGGAGAGACCAGTAAAACAAAAAAGTGAGCCCAGAAACAACCCAGCACATACAGAACTCAACTTTTGACACAAATGGTGTTGCAGATGTGGGAGAAGGGATAGTGGACTTTTCAATAAATGTTTCTAGGACACATTATTAGTCACATGGAAGACAAAAACAAAAAGTGCACCCTTACCTAACCACCATATACAGTCTTAAATTTGGGTAGGTTAAAGATATAAAATAAAAAGCAAAACTACAGTACTTTATAGGACAATATCTTTATGACTTCCAGAAAGGTAGGAATTTGTTAAACAAAACACAAAAAATGCAAACCTCTGAGGAAAAGATTAATAAAATGAACTAATCTATCAAAACTTCTGACTTCTGACCATCAAAAGTCCATGTAAAGGAAGTGAAAGGAGAATTACATACTGGAAGATTATATTTTTCAATATATATAAGAGGCAAAGGATTAATCAATATTCAAAAAAACAAAAGGAACTCCTACAATTTATAAGAAAAGGAAGAATAAATAACCAATAGAAAAAATGAGGAAAAGTCTTAATAGATATTTCAAAGAAAGGAAATCTGAACAACCAATAAAAGATGCCCAATCTGACTAGTAATCACAAAAATAAAAATTAAGACCACCATGAGAGATCATTTATAACTTAGCACAGTGGAAAAAAAAGTTTGTAGATGTCATGTGTTGGTAAGGATGAGGGCTAATGAGAGCACTTATATAGTATTTTTGGTGGATATAAAATAGCATAACCACTTTGAAAACAATTTGGCACTATCTGTATACTCTTGTGCTTTCAGCTTTGCATTTTTTCATAAACTAAGGAAAATAATAAAACATTTATTTTGTCTTTCTGCATGAATTGAATTCTATTTCAGGGCAATCAAATAAACAATGAGGAAAAGTTATTCTCTGTGGAAGAATTCTAGTTAAAAAATGCAGGATGAATGATAGAATTAGAAAATCACCATTATACAAACCTTAGTAAAAACATTTAGGTAGCCTTCATCATTGTATGCTAAAACCACTGGGTGAGATTTGATGGGAACCACCACCTGAACCCACCAATCAAACTCACAGAGTTTCACATTAAAAAAAAACTTACCTAAAAAAAAATTGAAACTGAATTTCATCAAGCCAGTTGACAGGAAATAGGAGGATAGAGGGAGTGTGTAACAAACAACAGCATGAGCACGATCAGTCACATTTAGAATATGACATTTCTTAGGAAAAATGACCTAGTTTCTCCAACAAATCACAGCATAAAAGATAAAAAGAAGGAAGGGGGCTGTTATAAAGTAAAAGAATAACACAATATTATTTGGATTTTGATTTGGTCAAACCAGCTATGGAAAGATAACTTTAAGATAGTCAATGAAGTATGAATAAGGACTAACTAGGTATTAGATGATATTAAGGAATTATTTTGTTAGGTATAATGTCATGATGGTTTCATTTAAAATGTTATCACATGAAGATTCATACTGAAGTGTTTACAAGTGAAATGACATTTTATATTTGCTTTAATATAAACAAAGCTTTTAAGATAACAGAATCTAGTATTTTTAGTAAATCATTAGTTATAGAGGTGGTGGTGATGGAGAGGAAGAGGTCTAGGATAACATTTGGATTTTGCCTTGGGTTACCAGGGTGGTACTATTTGCCAAGAAAGGGGACACAGAAGCAACAGTAGGTTTCACAGATAAAAATGATTTTAATTTTGAAAATAAGTTTTAGATGCTAATGGGATACCCAGAAGGTTCTCAAGTGAGCGATAGGATAATTGAGTCTTAAATAAAGAAGAGATCTGTGCTTGGGTTATAGTTTACCAGAAAAGTGATCAAATCACTCAAGAGAATGCATATGGTAAGAAAAGAAGTCCAAGGATGAACCCTGGTGATTACCAACATGCATGAAATAAACAAGGGGAGAGTTCAATGAGAGATTCTGACATAAAATGTTAGAATATTTGAATAGTTTTGAGAAGAAAGAATTAATCAGCATAAGGATTAATCAACAGTAATTAAATAATGTCGAGAAGTTAAATAAGATGAGAAATAAAAATAGTGCATAAGATTTTGAAATTGGCAGTCACTGGTGATCTTAGCAGGAGTTGTTTCATTTGAATAACGGTGGCAGGGGCTTCCCTGGTGGCGCAGTGGTTGAGAGTTCGCCTGTCGATGCAGGGGACACGAGTTCGTGCCCTGGTCCGGGAAGATCCCACATGCCGTGGAGCGGCTGGGCCCGTGAGCCATGGCCGCTGAGCCTGCGCGGCCGGAGCCTGTGCTCCGCAACGGGAGAGGCCACAACAGTGAGAGGCCTGCGTACCGCAAAAAAAAAAAAATAATAATAAAAAAATATAACGGTGGCAGAGGGCTAATTACAATGGGTTAGCACCTACATGAGAAGTGAGAGCTGGAGACACTTGTTCTTTTGAGGAGCTTAGCAGGAAATTATAAGAGAGGTAGAGGATTTCTTTTCTTTAATATAGAAATGGTTCCAGCATGTTTAGAGGCAAGATAAAAGAGCCAGTTGGGAGAGTCAGTTTGAGAACGTATATATATAAAAAAAAGAGAACAACAGATGAAGTATGGCTTTAGTGAAAAGAAGGGTGAAAAGGATAAAAAACAAGTTGAATAAATTAGCTCTAACCAAGTCAAGGAGTCCTTTTCTCTCTAAATCTGGAAAAATGTGGTAAGAGTAGATGCATATATAAAGGAATATTTCACTTAATAAAAATGAACTACTAATTTTTTTTTCCAGAAAAAAACTGTTTCAAAAAGTAGAGAGTGCAGCCACTTATTTTATTTCAGAAATGTCACCAGAAAAGCCTGAGTCACTCTGAGGGCATATACTCCCTCGTGGTCTTTGGGGAAGCCTAAGCCTTGCTGTGTTGGGGGAATGTGGACGAGTGTGCAGCAAATTGGGCCTCTGAGAGGTGGGCTGAGGGAAGGAGGGCATGTGGTGTTCTGAGAGTTAGGGGCAGATGTGTTCTGAACATAGATGGTGGGCCCAGGGGCCAGTAGCAGCCAGAATGGAATTGTGATTGGGAATAACCAGAAGGGCACTCTGAGGGGAGGGGTGCCAGCTAGTGAGGAAGCTGATTTTGGTTGACAGAGAGACAGACAGATCAAGTGTTGGTTTCTATGTTTAGACTCAATGTTCTCTGTGAAATGTGAGGCAAATATGGACAGGAGTCAGGGTCAGCAGTTGAGAACAATGATTTTGAGAGAGTGGTGCAGCTTCAGAATATTTTGGGGGGGGGAGAATGGTGAAACTACGAATTGAGAAACAGCAAATAAATGGGTGGCTGAGGGCCAACAAAGGGGCTGGCTGAGTTTGGAGACCATAAATTATTGGTAGCAGCCATCCACACCTTTGTGAAATTTCTTAAAATTTCCTTCTGTGTTACCCAGGGGTCAAGCTAACGGTGCAAGCAAGAGGATAATTGGGTCAATCTGCTTTTTAGGGTTATCAGGACAGATACAACCAAAGCACAAAAAGACATGGGCAGCTGGGATTATTGCAAGAGGCAAGTTAAATGATTTTGCTATGCATCTAAGTTGGATAGGAAAAGGGGTATGTCCATGAAATGGTGATGGGTTATGAAGTCTTTAGATAATAGCAAGAAGGATGGACACAAGAGGGCAGGAACATCAGAGGAATAGTGTTGTTAAAAGTGTCAAATAATTTGCTGTACAGTGAAGTGGAGTTCCCTGTGCTATACAGCAGGTTCTCATTAATACCCCAATTTAAAAAAATGTTAAATAATCTGGATACAGCAGTGGAGAGTTAAAGCAGAATGCTGCTACTACTTTTATGTTCTATGGTAAGTGAGAGGTGTAGAATAAAAAGTTTAGCTTGAGAGCTATTCAGGAGGTGGTAGAAGGATCGGGATCTATAAACAGGTTGACTTTGTAAAGTAGATCCTATGTGGTGGGATAAGGGTTACAGAGGAAAGGATAGGGGTCAATAGTAAAAAGAATCATGAGTAGAAGAAATCCCCAAATAGGTCAGTGATGAGAGTAAATGAGGGTGAGCTACTCAGAGGCCTGGATTTTGGTTGGTGACCAAAAAAAAAAAAAAGTGGGAGGCGAATGTGTTCCATGGACTGCTCTTGAGGCTTTTAGACAGATGAAGTCCCAAGTAGTGCAAGAGCCATGTGAGAGTAGCAAATTTTAGGCTCTACTTATCATTTAAAAGGAATGTCACTGAGAATTTACTTATCTCATCTCTGAAGAGTTCCCTTCCTCAGGCTGTTAATGGAAAATATGCATCTATGTTCATTCCCTGTTTTAAAATGTATTTACTTTTTATTCAAACCACTCTTACCACATTCCTG